TTTGCACATTTCGTTATAGTAATTGGCTTTGTCTGCTCGAGCTGCTCTTTGAAATTTTCTGTTCGGCTCTTTTATCTTGCCATTTCTTCCATTTGCTTTAGCTACTCTTCACTCAAGGGCAAGTTTCAGTCTCTTCTGTCATCCATTTTGGTCTTTTCTTTCTTTCTCGTCTTTTTAATGACCTCTTCCTTTCTTCATGGATGATGTTCTTGATGTCATCCCACAATTCTGGTTTTTGGTCACTGGTGTTCAATGCATCGGATCCATTCTTTAGATGGTCTCTAAATTCAGGAAGGATGTATTCAAGATCATATTCTGTCTCTCGTGGACTGGATTTAATTGTCTTCAACTTCAACTTGCATATGAGCAGTTGATGGTCTGTTCCACAATCAGTTCCTGGCCTTGTTTTGGCTGTAGATATTAAGCTTTTCCATCTCCTCTTGCCACAAATGTGGTCAATCTGATTCCTGTGTACTCCATCTGGGAAAGTCCACATGTATAGCCGCGTTTGTGTTGCTGAAAAAAGGTATTTGCAATGAATAAATTGTTGGTCTTGCAAAATTTTATCATGCAATCTCCAATGTGATTTCTGTCACCACGGTGAAATTTTCCAACAACCAGTGATACTTCTTTGTTTTCAACTTTTGCAGTCCAATCACCAGTGATAAGCAATACATCTTGATTGCATGTTCAGACAATTTCAGACTGCAGAAGTTGATAAAAATCTTCAATTTCCTCATCTTTGGCTTTGGTGGTTGGTGCATAAATTTGAATAATAGTAGTATTAATGGGTCTTCTTTGCAGACGTGTGGATATTATCCCATCATCAACAGCACTGTACTTCAGAACAGATCTTGAAACATCCTTTGTGATGATGAATGCCACACCACTCCTCTTCAATTTGTCATCCCTGGCATAGTAGGTCATATGGTTGTCTGATTCAAAATGCCCAAAACCGGTCCATTTCAGCTCACTAATGTCTAGGATATCAATCTTATGCATTGCAATTCATTTTTGACAACTTCCAATTTTCTTAGATTCATACTTCGTACATTCCATGTTCCGATTATTAATGGATATTTGCAGCTGTTTCTCAATTTGAGTTATGCCAAGTCATCATCACATGGAGGTCCTGAAAGACTTACATTATCCATATCATTAAAGTTGGTTCTACTCTGATGAGGCAGCTCTTTCCCAGTCCTATATTGAGTGCCTTCCAACCCAAGGGGCTCGTCTTCCTGTACTGTGTTGGACAGTGTTTCCAAGCTATTCATAAAGTTGTCCAGTAATGTATCAGACAACGTTTCTCTGTATTCATAAGGTTTTCCCTGGCCAATTTTTGAGAAGTGGATGGCCTCCTCCTTCTTCTTAGTTTGTCTTACTCGGTGAGCTGTGTTGAAACCTGTGCACCATGTGCAACTTTGCTGGTGTGTAAAACAACAGTGGCACAGCCCCAAGCCTCACAGCAATGTACAAGCTCCACCGGATGACAAACTGACAGACAAATTAGTCTCCCTTAGCTGTTGGAAACTTCTGCACTCTCCCCTTACTTAATTCCTACTTGGAACCTGCCACTCTGCAGTCCCCAGCCACTCCGTCCTTTTCCTGACTCTAGGGGGCTTGGGGCCTAGCCTTGCCTCCTGCCCCTTTTTTCCCTGGATATCCTGCCACTCCTGAGGTCCCACAGAATAATACTTTATGTTGAACATTTTCTGCAATTAAAAATTAATTTATCTTACTAAGTTATTGATACAGTGATATAATTTGCAACTATAATTCCTTTGGAAGAAAGGTCTTTGATTTGGTGATGGCTAGCTTTTCCTAAAATTTTGGGAGTTAAGATATCTTTTTTGTAAACCTTAACAGTGATATTAGTTATTTTTCCTCAGTTCATGTTTTTCCTAAATTTTTTCTTTTGTTGTTGAGGGTACACACTACAAAACACACATCAATTCAACAGTTTCTACATGTACAATTTAGTGACCCTGATTACATTCTTCAAATTGTACAACCATTCTCACCCTCCTTTTCTGACTTGTTCCTCCCTCATTAATACTCACTGCTCCCTAAAGCTCCTCCTTGTCAATCTTTCAAATTGCTGTTGTTAATTTGATCCCATATAGATCGTTCTTAAAAAGCATAATGCTCAATGGGTCTCTCCTTGTCCAGAGCAAAGAAGAATGAAGAAAGCCAAAGATTCATGGAAACAATTAGCCTAAGCTACTGGTACACCATGCGTTCCGTAGCCTATATGACCACAAGACCAAAAGAACTAGATGGTGCCTGGCTACTTCTGTCAACCACTCAGAGGGGGCATCTATATAGGAGATTCTGGATAGAGTAGGAGAACAATGTGGAACAAAACTCAAAATCATTTGGGCGGGAAAAAAAAAGGGACCAGGTTTGCTGGTCTGATAGAGCCTGGTGGAATCACTGAGATTATGGCCCCTAGTTGCCCTTCAGGTGTGGAATTGAACCCACTCCTGTGGCTTCAAACCAAACAAAATACAGGCATATGAGCTGAATATTTATACTCCCTGGAGAGAAAAATCATGGGAGAATAGAAGGGCCACATATGCACAGGGAGACAGCTCAGGGAGCAGGAGTGCATGGAGGGATGGACACAGGGAAGAAATAACTATGCAGAGGAAGTGGGAGGGGAGCTGTTGCATTGTGGTAAATTGTAGTCAGTGTCATGAGACAAAGTGTATGTGAACTGCTATATGAAAAGTGAATTTGCTCTGTAAACTTTCACCCAAATCACAATTAAAAACAAAAATGCGTAATGCTCAAGGTAGATCTTTTCTGCTAGTTAAGCTAAACTATTATTCAGTTTTAAGAGACCTCAGGGGATATTTTTGGCTTAAAGTTTAAAGATTAGCTTAGGATAATAGTTTCAAGGGTTTATTCACCTTCCATGGCTCCAAAAAGTCTACAGTCTACAAGATTTGAAATTCTGTTCTACATTTCCCCCATTTTGATCAAGGATTCTTCTTTGGAATCCTTGATCAAAATGTTCAGTAATAGTAGCTGTGCACCATCAAGTTCTCGGCTCATGGCAAAAGAGGCAGCTGTTCATGGAGGCGATTGCCACACATTCCATATTTTCCTCCTATTCTTGACTCTCCTTCTTCCTTCATTGTTCCAGGTGAATAGAGACCAATTGTGCTTTGGATGGGTATTTGCAAGCTTTTGAGACTCCAGGCACTGTGCAATGAACTACAGGTAGAACAGAAGCACCCAGCATACTATTAGCCAATTAACTGGGATGTCCCATGAAACCATCATCCTAAACCTCCAAACCAACAAAAAAAAACAAAAAACAAATCCCATGATGTATTTGGTTGTACATAAGCAGCATCAGTACTATTCTTTTTTTTTTTTCTGTTTTGGTTGTTGTTGTAAATACTCATAACCAAATTTTTAATAGAATAAAGTTTAAGGTGAACTTACCTAGCTTTGGTGCTTTTTGGATTTGTAACTTTAATGCACTTTAATATTAGCTTTAAACTTTTTAGTGGTAAAAAAAAAAAAAATCCTTTTTCTGTTTTTTGACACAAAATACTGCCCCCTTCATATAGGAACACATCAAAATATTCCCAGTGTCCCAAGGCATCATCCTGTTTCCTAGAGAGCAACTTAATTGGCCTCTTATTTCCATTCTATATCCTTCCCCATTAACCCTTTTACTAATTGCCAAAGTGATCAGTTCAACACAGATCTGTACACATTGCTCCCTTGCTTAAAATTCTTTAATGGCTCTCCAGTGTCTTTAGGATCAAGTTCAAACTCCTCCTCATGAGTAGTCCACCACAGCCACAGCTGGACCTCTGTATGGCTCTCCAGCCTTCCCTTTGCCCTCAACATATAGTACTTGCCCTAATGGTCCAGTATCATGAGCAGCTTTGTCTATTGGCCTATCCACCTCTTATGCTCTCCTCACCTGGCTGCCTGCAACTCTTTCATCATTGAGCTGGGTAGCCACACACTACTTGCTTATGACTATCGCAGGATTCATCACAAGTTTAATAATCAGCTGATTTGTCTGTCTGTCTGCTCCCACTTAAGTAGCTGTGGTGGTGCTTTGGTTAAAGCATTGAGCTGCTAACCAGAAAGGTCAGCAGTTTGAACCCAACAGCAGCTCTGTGGGAGAAAGATGGGACTGTCTGCTTCTGTAAATATTTACAGCCTTGGAAACCCTATGGGGTAGTTCTACTCTGTCCTGTAGGGTGGCTGGAGTCAGAATCGACTTGATGACAGTGGGTTTGGGTTTTTTCAGTCCCACCAGAGGGCAGTGACTAGGTCTTTTAATTTCCTTCTTTCTAGCAGTAACTGTCATGTGAAAGATGCTTACAAATATTGTTCAATAAATGAAATAATAGAGTGCTTTCTACTGACAAGGACAAGCATTATCCACCCAGAAAGTTTAACTAGGGACCTTCCTTTGCTAGATACCAAAGCAGCTGAGAATTAATTTTCCTTTCCTTATGTTTCCTCTGACAGAAACAGTGAAGTAAGGATGGAAGAGGGGCAACCAGATCTGCCAGCAGGTTGTCACAGAGGCTTCTGTGAGCAATATGCATATGGGAGAGGTTTCAGTGGAACTTCCAGACTAGGAAGAAGGCCTGGCAGTCTATTTCTGAAAATCAGTCATTGAAAACCCTATGGATCATAACAAAATACTGTTCGGTATACTGCTGAAGATGAGCCTCGTGGGTTGGAAGCACTCAAAGTACCCAGTGGCTGTAACAATGGCCTCAAGCACACTAACAATTGTGAAGATGGTGAACGACTAGGAAGTGTTTTGATCTATTGTATATTGGGTTGCTCTGAGTTGTAGTCAACTCAAAGGCAACTGACAACCACCAGCAGCTATTGTAGATTAAGGGACATCAATGCTTTCCAAACCCTCTCTATAATTTTGGAATTTGGGAAGAGAAATGATATCTATAAGAAATAGTTTATGAAACGGTTCTTGTTTTCACAAAGTCCACACATACCAACAGCAAGACCAGCTAGAGAAGCTGCACCTTGGCAGGACATGTCAGTGTGAACAGGTCTGTCTATATTCTGATTAATCAGGTCTGAGGTCATCTGCATGACAAAACTGTTCTTACAGACTCCTCCATCTGCCCTGTGGGGAGCAAGAAATGCAACATAAATCACTGCAACAAAAGCGTAACAGCATCATTAATTCTTTAAAAATGGGCCACATATTTTTCTTAAATTCTTGATTTTATTTTACAGATTTAATTTTATAATTCCAAAATTATATCCCTTAGCATTGACCTGTAGATAGAGGCCCTTACTGAGTAATCTTTAAAATTTTCCCTTATTCCTTCCAATAATTTTCCCACCTGCCCTGCTGATTCTATAGCTACTTCAAAATAGAGCAAATATAATAAAGTAAGCTGATAGAAAAACTGATTTGGACATTTCCATAAAAAGTCAGAAATTTGATGCTTTCATGCCAAAAGGGCAGCCACACATGCAAAAAGACAGATTTTAAAGATCTATATAGAATACATTTGAGTGCCATGATCCTCCCAAATTCCATGAAGTTCTATATTCTCCATAAATCTGAAATTAGCTTTCCCTTTCTCTCCAAATTCCTTTGACCAATAATTTTGTTGCAAAGGAGCTATGCATTAAGTTCTCTTTGAAATCATGAAAAATTTTTTTGTAATAGAGAAATACCAATAGCAGCTACCACTTACTGAATGCCTTGCAAACGCATGCCCTATATCAAATTTTCCATGTTAACTCACTCACCAACAAGGAAGCCAGACCCCAACTCAGAGAAAGGAAGAGAATGGTCCAGGTTTAAAGGCAGACCTTGACCCCAAAATCTGTTATTTTGTTTCCTTTACCGAAAGACAATGTTTACTCCCCCAAATCATGGCACCTCTAATGCTTTCAGGAGCTCTGGTGGCATGCTGCCTAAGGCATTTGACTACTAACCAGAAGGCTGGCGGTTCAAACCCACCAGTCACTCCTCTGAAGGAAGACTGGGCAATCTACTTCCGTTCAGATACTGTCTCGGAAACCCAAGAAGGGGTTGCTATGAGTTAGAATTGACTTGATAGCAGTGAGTTTGTTTGTTTCGTTTTGTCTAATTGTTTAGGGAATAAACTTTAAAAATAATTTGTCACTAAATTAGAAAACATAAAAGTGACCAGAATTCCTGGTCTGATAGAGACTGGTAGAACCCCCAAGCCTACGGCCCAGGTATCCTTCAGGCCTGAAACTGGGCTCACTTTTGTGGATTAGCTCTCAGCCTAACAGTAGAGAGACCTACAAGCAGAGCACCTACCCCAGGGAGATACACCTCTTTTATCAACCATGAGACATCAGAAGGGCAGCATTCACATAGAGGGAAAGCTGGACAGGCAGGAATGCATAGAAAAGAAGGGCACAGGGAAGGGGTAGCCACAGGAAGGAAAGGAAAGGAGAGCTTTTTATAGTTGGGGATATCAGGGGCCATGAAACCAAATGTGCATGAACTGTTGTGTATAAAAGGCTTCAGCTTTATATATTTGCACCCACATAACAAGAAAATTTTTTTTAAAAAGTAATAATAATAATTTGTCACTATAATTAACTCAAAATGAACTTTATGCATAAGAATTTAAGTCTCTGAAATTTAAAGTTTAACTTCTAATTCAATTGATTAGAAACAAAGTACAACCAATTGCCAGTGAATTGACGCCAACTCACGCTGACCCCAGGTGTGTCAGAATGGAATTGTGCTCATGGGGATTTCAATGGCTGAGCTTTCAGAAGTAAATTGCCAGGCCCTTTCCTGAGATACCTCTTGGTAGACTCGAACCACCAAACTTTTAAGTCAGCAGTCAAATGCATTAACTGAGCTCTGGGAGCATAGTGCCTAAGGCACTTGACTGCTAACCAGAAGGCTGGCAGTTTAAACCCACCAGCCACTCCTCAGAAGGAAGACTGGGCAATCTACTTCCGTAGTGATACTGCCTCGGAAGCCCAAGGAGGGGTCGCTATGAGTCAGGGCCAACTCGATGGCACATAACAACAACACAACAACCACCCAGGGAGAAAAAGCATAAAACAATACATACGTACCGGATTTTGGTTACAGGAATATGGATCTCTTTCTGCATTATGTCATATAACTGTTTATTTCTAGTTGAAAAACAAAATAACTATTTAGAGGAAATTTATACCACAATTATAGTTTCTTTTATACAGATCTAGAAAAAAGAAAATTGTACAGTTATTTAAATATAATGTTTATAAAATATACAAAAGAAATATATTCTGCTAGCTGGATGTAGTCTACAGATGCCCAACTAAGTAGGAGGTTCAGAACCTGTGTACTTCGCCTTAATAAAAAAAGAGCATAATTTGTATTTTAAAGCTAAATTTAATCTACTGCTATTCTTACAAATAAAATTTAAACCAGTATCCATTTAACAGATAGCTATTAAGATGATATACCATAAATAACAGCTGATAGAACTCAATAAACATTAAAAATAATGATCATGAAATCATGGAATATTTTATTTTAAACATTACAAATGTTCCATATCTATGGTAGTCATGTTCTTAATTTTAATTATCTACACTGGTCTCTTAACAAAAAGTTACAGGGAAATAAACATAAAAATAATTTTGCTAATTCAATCTCCCACATGAAAACTATGCTAAAACCTTTAGAAACCCAAGTTTGAATATGTTATGCTTAAGAAATAGACATGAAAAAATCATGTTATTTTCAGATATTAAAACTAAGTGGCACTTTTACTACTAAACATGAATGAACAAACAACAAAAAAAAGAAGATTCCACAGAAATATCAATAAGAACAGACTACATCATACAGTGTGTATCAAACTAGTACTAAATAAAACCTCAGTTAACAAATTAAGAAATTTCCTATTCAGCAGTAAATCAATAAAAGGAAATGGCAATACTGTATAGGGGAGAGGCAGTTCAGGTGTTGATACCTGAAAGCTATTGACTCCAATATTGCTCGTACGAGATGGTATTTACTGGTGGAAGGCTTCAAGCCCATAAACGAGGCACATGCACGGGGGTCATTCATCGGAGCCTAAAATAAGCAATAATAAGCATACATTCTTACCATCTTAAATAAAACACATAGTCTTGAAGAACTATTATATGATAAAAATGTAGCCTCTTAGAAGAAAATGTTTATTTACATTTAAATAATATGATAATTAATGGCACTCCATTTATTATGTTAAATGTTAGGACAACATTTTAACAGGTCTTAAGCAAGGTTGAGTCAAAGATGTAATTTGCTCTACCTCCTGTTTCAGTTCACACCAAGAAAAGGACTTAAGCATACGTTGTTGTTAGGTGCCACTGAGTTGGTCCCGACTCATAGAGACCCTATTTACAATAGAACAAAACATTGCCGGGTTCTGTGCTACCTCAAAATTATTGCTATGTTTCAGCCCGTTGTTGGAGTCACTGTGTCAATCTATCTCATTGAGGGGACTCCCCTTTGTTGCTGACCCTCTACTTTACTAAGCATGACATTCCTTTTCAGGGACTGGCCCTTCATGATGATATGTCCAAAATATGTGAGCCAAGATCTTGCCATTCTAGCTTCCAAGGAGCATTCTGGCTGTACTTCTTCCAGGACAGATTTGTTCATTCTTCTAGCAATTCATGGTATATTCAATATTCTTCTCCAACACCATAATTCAAAGGCATCATTTCTTCAGTTTTCCTTATTCATTGTCCAACTTTCACATGCATATGATGTGATTAAAATACCATGGCTTAGGTCAAGTGTACCTTAGTCCTCAAAGGAAAATCTTTAACACTTTAAAGAGGTGTTTTGCAGCACATTTCTTCAATGCAATACATCATTTGATTCCTTGCCTGCTGCTTCCACTGGTGTTAACTGTGCATCCAAATAAAACAAAATCTTTGAAAAATTCAATATTTTCTCCATGTATCATGATGCTACTTATTGGTCCAATTGTGAGGATTTTGTTTTTCTCTATGTTGAGGTGGAATCCTGCTGTGAATTGCTTGATGTGGCCCTTCTAGCCATTGTCCTCCACTCTGTGATGTATTGTAAATCCTTTTATCCATGCCTGTTTTGGGTGGTGTGGTAGTTAAGGTCAGATATCAATTTAGCTGGGTAGGTGGTAGTAGTCGTTCCCTATAATGACTGGCAATCGGCTCTGTGGTGGGATTTGCCTTGAGCTGCTGATTGTTAAAGCCATCCACTTAGGTTATTTCTGTT